TTTGAAAGTAGAATCTTTGAGGGGTGCCTGGGTGGCTCGGTCCCTTAGGCGTCCGACTTCATTCGGCTCAGGTCATGATCTCCTGGTTCATGGGTTCGAGCCCCACGTCGGGCTCTGTGCTGACAGCTCAGAGCCTGGAGCCTGCTTTGGAGTCTGTGTCTCCCTCACTCTCTGCCCCTCCCCCACTCATGCCCACTCGCTCTCAAAAATAAATAACTGCTAAAAAAATTAAAAAATTGAATCTTTTAACGTCTTAATAGGATTGAAACGTCTTTATGGTGCCTACACAAAATCTCTTCTGGGATAACGCTCATATTCTGAGGGATGCCCCACCTAGTTGGGTAAGCGTAGGAGGCGGCCACATGGGGCAGGATGCCCCCAGACACTCACTGCAGTTCCTCGCAGAGTATCCGCTCATTGGTCTAGCAGAAGAGAGCTGTGCCTTTCTCAGGCTCCACTAGCACCGTGGACGTGATTTGTTTTTCAAGTGGCCAGAGGGTGTGTGAGTCTGGAACCCAGAGTTCATTCATTCACTGAACAAACTGATTTGTGCCTGCTCTCTGCAGGTGCTGGGTAGGTGCTAAGAGAAAGGCATGGACCCTACCATCAAGGAGTTCTGGCATGATGTTTTGACTTTAAGAGTCCCCTAAGAGGAAGCAGAGAGGGGAGGGCTTTGTCTCAGGCTGGACCTCACATGGTTTTTTTTTTCTTTTTTTAATGTTTATTTTTGAGAGACAGAGCACGAGCGGGGGAGGGGCAGAGAGAGAGGGAGACACAGAATCCGAAGCAGGCTCCAGGCTCTGAGGTGTCAGCACAGAGCCCGACGCGGGGCTCAAACTCACAAACCGTAAGTTCATGCATGACCTGAGCCGAAGTCAGATGGATGCTTAACCAGCTGAGCCACCCAGGCGCCCCTGGACCTCACATGTTTTAAACAAGTAACGTGATTTTCCTCTGATTGCTCTGGGATGGTTAAATATGAAGCCCCGTGGCTGGGCTTTATTTATGGTCCTGCGGGAGCAACATCGGCCAGCACAGAAGGGCTGTCCTTTCCTGCTTCGGCCAGGGTGCTTTGTTCACAGTGTCTGTCATCTGGCAAGGTTTTCCCAAGCGGGCCACTGCTGCCTGCGTTGTAAACATGCTCCCAGAGTAGCCTGTGCTCCGAAATTAACGTGTTCTCAGCAAAAGCCTCCTCGCAGCCTTGCAACTTGCTAGCTCTTTGTGTTTTGCAGCAAGCACATTTAGCTCTCTCTTGCTTTGTAATGCCAGCTTTATCACAGAACGTTCTCTGCTTGAACAATGTATTTGCTAATTAAAATCAGTTGCCTTGTCAGTGACTATAAGCCAGTGATTGATTTGATTGCTCTGGCATTGTAAGAAATTTATTATGAAAATATTAAAACATTTTTTAAAAGTAGAGAGCATAGGATAAAAAACACCATATACACGTCACCAGACTTAACCCTTGTTTTGCCACATTTCTTCATCTATTTAAAAAAAAATTTTTTTTAATGTTTATTTTTGAGAGAGAGAGACAGAGACAGAGTGTGAACAGGGGAGGAGCAGAGAGAGGGAGACACAGAATGGGAAGCAGGCTCCAGGCTCCGAGCTGTTAGCACAGAGCCCAACGCGGGGCTTGAACCCACGGACTGCGAGATCGTGACCTGAGCTGAATTTGGACGCTTAACCGACTGAGCCAGCCAGGCGCCCCCTTCATCTATATTATTGTTGCTGAAGTACGTTGCAGACATCCAGACATTTTAGGATTTATCTCTAAAAAAATAATGACATTTTCCCTCCTAACCATGACATCACGGGCATTTCTAGTAAAATGAGTAATTCCTTGATGTCATTTAAATCCAGTCTCTGTTCCCATTTCTTCATCTGCCTCCCTGTAAGTCTTCCACGGATGGTCTCTTCAGGGCAGGATTCGATCATATGCTGCATGTTGACTGTTGCTGTTTTTTGCATTTTGCTGTTTTACGTCTTAAAGTTTTAAAGTCTAGACCAGTTCCTTCTCCCCAACTCACTGGATCTTCTTCTTCGTTTCCATCATATCGTACAAGTTCTTGGACCTTTCAGGTCTTTTGATAGAGGTGAAGTTTTTCATGGACTCCTTCTGTGGTACAGCTACGTTTTATTTTCTTGCATTTGTATTAGTTACTTTTAACTGGAGGTGTTTGTTTTTAATACTTCAGTATTAACGTTTATTTTTGAGAGAGCAGAGCGTGCGTGAGCCTGAGCAGGGGAGGGGCAGAGAGGAAGATGTAGAATGGGAAGCAGGCTCCAGGCTCTGAGCCATCAGCACAGAGCCCGATGCGGGGCTTGAACCCACAGACCGCGAGATCATGACCTGAGCCAAAGTCATATATAGCCCGACGCAGGGCTTGAACCCACAGACCGCGAGATCATGACCTGAGCCAAAGTCATATATGCTTAACCAACTGAGCCACCCAAGTATCCCAATACTTCAGTATTAAACTGGCTTCAGCAGCTTAGAAAATGATTCCGATCTGACCTAGGCCGGGAGTTTACTGGAAGAGGCATTCCTTGTATCATTTCTTTTTAGTCTTGAATAAAATTATTCTTCTGGATTTATACAGATTTTATTGACTTGAAATGAGTGCAAAGTCCCGAAGGTGGGTCCTGGAGACCAGCTGTGTGTAAGGTTGAGAACAACCTCAGTAACTCCTGTTCACGTTCAGTTTGCAGAGAAATTCCAGGAGGTGAAAGAAGCCGCCAGACTAGCCAGAGACAAGTCCCAGGAGAAAACGGAGACTTCGAGCAATCATTCCCAAGTAAGTGATTTGTCCACAAAATAAATCTGAGTGTGATCAGTAATTGAGCCTCTTTGTTCCTTGTCACTTGTGACGAGAAGTAGGGACTTCCAGCATTAGGGGCGTTGTGAAGGCTTTTTCCACTCTTAGCCTGCTCGCACTGAGGTGTGAGGACGTGTTTCTCTGAGAGTCTTGAGTTTTCCAGATGTGCTGATGTATTTTTGACGGAAAGCACTAGATGAGGTTAGAATTACCGCATGCCTCTGGCCCCTAAGAGGCATTCTTTGTCCTTGTGTTTAAATACCAGAGGCAAAGCACTGTGTTTCCCTTCAGTGCTGGGGGGCGAGTCTGCGTGAACGATGTGCAGTGACAATACCGGTGGGTACCTCGTGCCCACAAGAGAGAAAACTTGGCTGATGCCGGAGAACCCTTGTCTCTGCTTCTCTGTTTTAACAAAGTCAGATGGGAGATCGTATTCCAACGGCTCTGGTTTAGCAAAGGAGATACGGCTTTGCCAGAAATTGAGTTGTCTGTCTACTTAAAAGTGTGACGATTGGGGCGCCTCGGTGCCTCAGTCGGTTGAGCGTCTGACTTCGACTCAGGTCATGCTCTTGCGGTTCGTGGGTTCGAGCCCCATGTTGTGCTCTGGGCTGACAGCTCAGGGCCTGGAGCCTGTTTCGGATTCTGTGTCTCCCTCTCTCTCTGCCCCTCTCCCCCCAATAAATAAAAACATTTAAAAAATGTCTAGTTTCTGAGGTCTAGTTTGGTGTATATAATGGTGGGTGGAAGCCTTGATCTCGTGGTAAGGTTATGTGCACAGAGACAGGGAGAGGAGACGTCAGGGGCAGGATTCGGGGTTCGGAACAAGCACGATGCAACAGCCAACACAGCCGGGAGTCTGCCTGGCTGGGAGCAAGGTGCCCTGTGAGAGGAATTGGAGCTGCACTTGGTGATCCTGCAAAAGACCTGGAATTTTTGACTAGCAGTTTATTATTTGTTGTCTACTTATTGTTGGGTTGTTGTGGTAGACGTTGGAGGTGTTCCCTGACTGTTTCTCTGGAATTGATGTGAGGGTTGTACTCACATGGGGAGGAAGTCAGGGAGCCACAGACGGTCGGTGGATTGGCGAGGGCGCAGCTGCAGGGGTGAGGAGGAAGGGAGGGATGTTGAGGACAGCCTGTAGGAAGAGAACCAGGGGACTGGGCATCTTGAGCTGTCAAGACTGACATTCTAGACTTGACCGTCAGCCTCGAAGAAGTAATAGCTGAAGGCTTGGCCTTTCCAAGAAGCCGTGGGGAGAGGAGGGCAAAGCTAGAGCCTTGTTAAGTTTGCCCAGCTATGGGAAGGGGCCCAGCGAGGAAGACAGAGGAGAAACCTCCCCGTTACTGACCCGAGGCAGGCGCGTGCTAAGTGAGTTAGTGCTGCAGAGCGGAGGGCCCCGGGTTTGGCCACCACAGTGACTGACCCTCAGGACCGGGATTTCCCAGCGCCGGTCCCGGCTCATCGTATGAAAGATGCCCCGTGTGAATTTATGGAAATGAATGCGTATTAGACTTCAGGTGGGCGAGAACTTTCCTGACTCTTTCTGAATAATCTTTAATGTAATCCGAGTGATCCTGTTAATTTCATATACTGATAACCATAAGTAACCACTGAGCACCTATGAAATTGGACCCCTGAAATGAAATTGGACCCCCAAAATGGTCCACAATCTAGAGTTTCTAATATACAATCTTTTTCTGGACACCACATATTATAGCTATACCTTTAAACTTTAATATCAGAATTTCTTTATATAAGTGTTTTATTTTAATCTTTGTTCCCCCCCCCACAAAAGGTATTTTAAACCTTAAATCATGTATACCCATCAGATGCTATATTATGTGTATGTATTAATTACCTATCAGGGTTTTGTTTTTGTTTTTGTTTTTTTTTTGTCTCTAAGGTTTAGTTTTTATTTATCCTTCTTGATGTGTCCCCAGATGTAGAGACCACTGTACATTTTTCTTTTCATTTTTATTAGAAGTCATACAATTGCTTGCTTTCCTGACTCTCCTGGGGAATGAACACTTTGGCCCAGTGTTCCAAATATTTGAAGATTTTAAACATTTAATAGGGATTTCATCCTGACCGTGAAAGCAGTATGTATTTATTATAGAAATCAAAACACTGCCATTCTCTAGAGTCCGCACCACACAAAGATATGTGTTAAATATCTAGTATATGTTTATATTGTTCTTTTTAACCTTTTTTACTTTATGTTTCGTGATCATTCCCCTGTGTTTTCAAATATCCCTTTTCAAAACTATCTTAATGGCTAGACAACATTCTAGTATTGGTCTGTATCACACCTTACTCCATTAACCTCTACTTCGGGGCATCTATGTGGTTTCTGATTTTTCATGAATACGAATGACACTGTGATGAACGTCCTCGCACATCTTTGTGCGTTTGATCATTTCTGCAAGATAAATTCTTGGACTGGAAGTACTGGGTTAAAAGGCAGGGACATTTTAAAAGGTTTTGATAAATCCTGCAGACTTAGCCCACGGAAATGGATGCTTCTCACTACCCCCAGCAGTGACCAAGAGGAAGTTTTCCTCCCACACTCTCACCAGCAAAGCTTTGTTGACTTGACAGAAGAAAAATATATTCTCTTGGCCTTTTCTCATTTTGTATTTCTTTACCAGTGAGATTAAATATTTTTTGTTTATTGATTCTATGCATTTCTTCTTCTGTAAATGTTAATTATGTATTTTTTCCTTTTTTTTTTTAAGTTTATTTATTTATTTTGAGAGAGAGAGAGAGCATGAGCAGGGGAGGGGCAGAGGGGAAGGGGGAGAGAGTCCCAAGCAGGTATGATCTGCTGAGAGCGACGAGCCCGATGCGGGGCTCTAACTCACAAACTGTGAGATCATGACGTGAGCCGAAATCCAGAGTTGGACGCTCGACTGAGCCATCCAGGTGCCCCTTTTTTTCCTTTTTTAAAAAACATTAAAGTGTTAATCTTTTAGCGTAGATTTCTAGGAATTTTATTTTTTTAATGTGGACGTTTTTGAACCTGTTCACAGCTTGGCAGAATTGTAAAACGAACCTCCGTGGGACGCATAGGTCAGCTTTAACGATTAAGAATTTATGACCTGTTGTTTCATCCATCCCCCCACCCTGGACCCTCCTCTCCCCCTAAATTTTAAAGCAAATCCCAGAGATCATTTCATCTGTCAATATGTCAGCGCGTGGCTCTAGAAGACAAGGCCTCTGAGAGTTTTCCAGCACAAGAAAAGTATTAACATCTTGTTTTTCATATATGCAAATGTTCAGCAGCAGATATGTTCCCACATTTCTTGTGTGCATTTTAATTTTGTTTATGGCACTCTTTTTTTTTTTTTTTAAGAGAGAGAGCAGAAATTTAAAGTCAGATGTACACATCATTCCCTTTCGGGTCCCTGCCTTTGCCTTTACGCTTATTGGAGGCTAAATAAGGTCTTATCCTCGACCAGATGAGATGTCACCCACGGTTGGTATGACTTGTTACACAAAGCAGCTCAGAATATTCATATTCATAATAATGCTGACAGCAGTGGAGGCCACAGCCACATCTGAGTCCTGCATGTTTAAGGAGTGTTGGTCTCTGTGGCCCCAGGGGGTTTTAAGTTCCAGCTTCTAACACTTTCTCCTCATTCCCTCTTTCTTGTTCCTTGTTGTGAATCCCTCCCCCTGTTTTCGTCTGTGGCTTCTGTGTTCAATAAGGGAGCCCCGGTGTCCAAGCTTGTTAGGTTTATGTATAAAGTTGAGTAAGTGATCCTGAGTCAGGGCCCCGGGTGGACTCTTTCTCTGTAAAGTGCACAGACTTTCTGAGCTTCGAGGAGACTCCTCTGGGCCTTTTCCTTTGTTCTTTTTTTTTTTTTTTTTTAATGTTTATTTATTTCAAGAGAGAAAGAGTGCAAGTGGGGGAGGGGTAGACAGAAAGAGGGAGAGAGAGAGGGAGAGAATCTCCAGTAGGCTCTGCACTGTCAGCACAGAGTCCGACACAGGGCTTGAACTCCCAAAGCCACAAGATCATGACCTGAGCCGAAATCAAGAGTCGGATGCTCAGCTCGACCCACTGAGCCGCTCAGGCGCCCCTTCCTTTGTTCTTTGATATCTTTCCACGTGCTAGTCTTTGCCGCATCCCGGTCCCATGACTTGCTTCTCCCCCGCTCACTAACACGCTTTCTCGTTATGCCCGATTTGCTGCTACTGTGAACAGTAATGTGTGAAGGGAATTCACTTTGGCCAGGAATCTGGGTGTGAAAGCCCGTCTTCTACTCAGGCATCCAGCGTCAACGGGACGGACGATGAAAAGGCCTCTCATGTGGGTCCTGCTGACACGCACCTGAAGTCTGAGAACGACAAGCTGAAGATTGCTTTGACGCAGAGGTAAGGGTGTTTGAAATCCAGACGCTATTTTCTCCCGGCTCAGTGCCTCCCTGCAGCCTTCCCTGCTGCGCAGGGTTTCCTGAGGAGACGGGGTCCTGCTCAGAGTGTCTGGTCTTGTCTCCGGGCCAAAGGAAGGCCAGCTGGCTCTGTGGCTATTCTCCGTCTGGCTGACCAGACTGGTGTCAGTTCATGTGTGTGAGTGTGCAAGTGTGTGTGTGTGTGTGTGTGTGTGTGTGTGTGTGTGTCTGCTTACGGTGAGAGCACAGAGAACGTGAAAGAGGTTTGTGTGAGTGTGGCAGAGATGTGTGCCTGTGCTTGTATGTGTTTTTTTTCGTGTTT